TGGCCGCGGCCGCGTTGGACAGGTGCCCGTTTTACAGTTAAATTATATAGAAAAAACGCAAGGGCGGAAATGGAAAGTGGCCGTTTGTACAGGTGGCCGTCTTATAAAGGTGGCCGTCAGGGCAGGTTTGACTATATATGATACTCATTTAATTTAATAATCAAAATAGACTTTTTAAAAACACCAAGGACGAATGAAAACTCACACAACAACAATGAAAACAAACACAACAATAAAAACAAAACCAGCAAACATGTCAACATACATGATAATCATTCAGTTTAGAAATAAAAAACATAAGAATGAATGAAAACAAATTTTAAAAAATAAAAAAAAAAATGTCAACATACATCATCCATGAAATCTTTTGTGGCTTGAAGCACAAGACCCTGATGTTCTCCCAGAACAAAAACATCTTCGACTCCATACTGCAAATGTTCTCCTGGCTGAAGGAAAAATGATGTCTCACCCTGAAAGATTAAATAAAATCTTGTACAATTTTGACTGTAATTTGCAGACTTGGGACAGAAGTGAATAGAAGGGAAAACCCTCTAAGGTCTGGTCAGAACTAGATATGGCACTTGACTATAATGAAACTACTCCAGGTAGCTTGATTAATCCAATTTTAAGTTGTGTCATGAAAACCTATGCACAGGTCTTTTGAGACTTTGGGAGCAATGCCAAGTTGTACAAATATGAAGGGTGCTGACAAAATGAGTTACTTCTCGGATTCGAAACCTATGGAAATAGATATAGAGGAGAAGTTTTTACAATTTAAAAGTATGAAATAATATCCCCCCAAAAATCTACAAATTTGACCCTGGTGTCGGTTTTTGGCCAATATCTCCAGTTGTGCATTGCGGGAAGTAACTCATTTTGTCAACACGCCTCACAAATGGATGCACAAGAAGCTTCAAATATATGTGAGGAGTCTGCTGTTTAGCTTTGTATGCTATACCAGGAAGGGGGTATGCCATAAGGTGGCAGTTTAGTCGGCATCATGCTGGGCTATGGAGTGGATTGAAATATAAATAAATGTATAAGCAAAAGTATATAACAAAATCCGGACAATTTTAGAAATCTGATTAAAAGCTGCTTCTTATACCTTTATAAGCTTCCGCTTGCCAAGCTGTGGCACACCGTTACGATCCACCGGATCCAGCACCACACAATACTGGCGACTGTTGAGGGACACGGCTTTCACTGTCTGTACTACCTGCAGGAAAACATTGTGGGAACAAGTTCGTATTGTTCTGTATTGGTGTATGTTTGTATGTATGTATGTATGTGTGTGTGTGTGTATGTGTGTGTGTGTGTGTGTGTGTGTGTGTGTGTGTGTGTGTGTGTGTGTGTATGTTTGCTTGCCATTGTAAACCAAATTGCCTTTCTGAGATCACTAAAAATGTGATTTATGATAATTTTTAATTTATACGTTTGGGTTTTACAAAATATATAATAGGTGTTTTTGCACATAATTGAGATCATCTTGGAGGACGGCTTCGGACACTGCCTGTCATGACCAACCCAAGCTAAGACAGATACATTATCCCAGAAGAAAGACATCATCATCATCATTGCCTTTCTCACCCTGCACCAGGGTATAGGCCACGGACAAACACCCCCCACTTTTCTCTATCCTGGGCTAGCCTCTTGATGTTATTCCATGTCTTCCCACTTTTCTGTACATCGATTATCCAGTGTGTTTCGCTGACTCCTAGTATGTGCAGCCTGTATCTCTTCATCTCTTGTACTACTTGAAAACTCTTTCCTGCTTCATACAAGGTGCGAACATTCCACGACGCAATCCGGAGAGACTTGTTCGACAGAGAAGATTTCGGGTCAGAAGAGTCCTCTCGGCTTTGTCCGCTGTCCTTCATTGTTCCTGCTGATACAGAAGCTCCGCCGTCTCCCAAGATCGAAAAATAAAAAGCTGTGTTTGTCCGTGTTTCTGTAACTTACTGTTTTTTACTGGGTTGGGTAGTTGGCCCTCCGCAAACTGGCACTTTTCGGGCGACCAGACCTATGCACTTTTAGTCGCCTCTTACGACACGCAGTATCACGGCAGGTGTATTCTTTGCTCCCCCATAGTAAAACTATGGGGCCCCCCACCAGCAGGGGAGGGAAGAAAGACATACTCAGTAAAAAATTTTCTCTTCATTCTGTGTTCAATTGCGTTAAACAGAAGTCTACATTCGAACATCCAATGGCCACTTGTTCAAGACAATAATCTGTACAAATGACCTTTTCACACTTCCCTCCCTGTGTTTCATCTATATTATTGTAATAACGGTGTCTAAATTGACCACCTTCTCAGATTATCACTTTTCTCATTGACAAAGGGTGGCCATCTTGGACAAGCTCAATTTCATACAATTCAGTCAAGCCAAAGAAAAGAAGAATAAAGAAAAGGGTGAGGAGGAGAAGAAAAGTTTGTTTTAGTAAGTGTTTTACAGCACTTGAAACACAACAGGGTCAAAATATATGTGCCAGAGATTAGAGG